GGTAGTCGGGTTCTGCATACCCTATATTTATCTAGCACAATGGAGTTCTTGAGATCACACCCCCCCCCCTTTTGATCGCTTCCGCTTTCTTCGACTAGAGCTTGGTTAAGTCCTCTGCTCTCTTCTTCCTTTCCCGAGGCTATTGTCGATGTGCTATTGGAATCAGATGGTGGTGGAGGGTTGGGTGGTGGTGTATCTCTGTCCTCGTACACCTTTTCTGTTGCGCTCTCTCCCTCTTTTTGTGCGAAATTTTTACTGCTCGTCTGTCTTTCTCCTTTTTCTGACTCATCATTGGAGCTCTTCCCGTTGTTCATACGTCTTACATCACTATCTCCTGTTTCGTATCCTTCTTTGCTCTTGCCCTGCTTACTAGTGCTGACTCTAGCATCGTTTAAATCTTTTCCGACAGCTGAGCCCTTTTTACTAGTTTCTTTGTGGTCTGTTGTCAGATGGCTGCCTCCATCGTATTCTATCAAAGCCTGATAATGATTATTTTTAAGGCGTATGTATTTAAATGTCTCGCCTTTTTTCCGTTCTCGTTGATATGCACACCAGTAGAAATGAGATTTTGAAAATCATCTCTTTTCAGCACTCGCCGCTTGTCTCCTTGATTCTTGATCCTGTGATTATCAGCAGTTAGTATCCTAGTCCTGCTTTCCTGCTAGTTGATGTCACCGTTGCTTGCAGAATATGACTGGCCCTCTCCTTTTTGATCGGCTTCTCGGCTGCTCGATTTTTAATTGTCGTATTCTTACGGCACTGCGCTATGTGTGCTTCTAGGCGTGCAAAAAAAATTTTGACTCTTACCAAACCCCACACCTAGCACCAAAAATGTTACGTGGGAAAACCGAAAGGTAAGGAGGTGCTTCGCGAGAATGATCAAAACCTTGGAACCTTAAAGACTTTTATTCAAGATACTTATTTATAAGGCAAAGACGCGTGTGTGTTCCTGATAAATTGCCCAATCTCTGACTTGAGTGTCTATCTAATCTGCTTCTTTTCTCTGTTCTTTCTGTCCGTCTCTCCAAGTGTTCTCTTTGTTTTCTCTGTCTGCCCGAGTCTTCTCTTCGTTCTCTCTGTCTGTCCAAGTCTTCTCTTTGTTTTCTCTTTTTGTCCGAGTCTTCTTTTCGTTCTGGTGATTTTAAAGCTTGCCGGGCCCTATATTACCTTGTTCCCTACCTATCAGTACCCTCTTGATAAGGTAGCTTCGTGGTCACCAGAGGGAGTTAGTACGATATGCCTAGCATATCGTACGTAACAGCAGTCAATAAAAACTCAGAAATTTTAAAGTTTATACTGTGACACAGCCAATAAAAATTAAATAAACCATTGCACTTGTATCATATACAAAACAAGTATACTGAAATCCATTATCTTCCAAATTAATAACCAAACGCTTGGAAATGATGCATCACAATATTAGCATTACGGGTTCTCAGTTTTAAGTTTGAGGAGATTAAACATTTAAATCTGCCTGTAAAACTGGCTTATTAGAATAAAGGAAGACTTACGAATTTTATAACTTCGTGTGTAACTTGAGACTCTCGGAGCGCATTTTACATTACACAATATTAATTGACGATGAAACTATGACTTTTTCAAGTTTTTGTATTTTATTAAAACACACAAATGTCTTACTTGATAAAAGTGCTTATTGCTATGCTTAAAGGGTTTCTTAATACTTTTCCCCATGAATAATTGCACAGTGTTTATTTTCCAGTCTTGTACACGCGCACACGAGTGTCTGTATATAACTGAAGATGCCTAGAACATTAGGCAAACTGTTTCGATGAAAGAAACTTGTAGGACACGACTATTATTAAAAAAAATATAATTTTTGCAATATTTGCATAGTATATCTTACAATAAGATGCTGTTCTGTGATAATTTTGACGAAAACGTAGTATGTCACGCGAATTGTATTGACAAAGAAAGTTGACAACAGTATCTGTTTCTACATGAAAGACTCAACAAGCTTATTAAAGTTTTTGATTTGTACGATGTGATTGTCACTCCCTCCATGAAAATTTTTTTTTTATCAATTTTCACGGCATTTTTCGATAGTGAGCATTATTCCCACGTGTGGAGGTAGTGACAAAAGGGAACAGTATTAAATAGAAAAAAAAATGTTCGTATATATCTCGTAGATAAATTGTGCTAACTATAAAACTTGTACTTACCACTCATTAGTACGATGTGTTCCACCAAGTAAGTTGACAATATGCTTGCGGAGGTTAAGAAACCACCAGAAAATAAGACAGTTGCGAATAGTACTGTTATAACCAAGAATGGGTGAGAACCACAGCCTGATCCAACTTTTTGGAAACTTTGCAGGCATATCGTTAACAAGTTAAGCCGTTTACTGATTTTTCAGAGGCTCAAATAACTAGTAAAGTTTTGCTGTACTAGAATTATTTTAGAGTTGACCAATCAATTGTCGTGAGTTATGATATTGTTGCAAGAGACTTTAAACTCGTTGATCCACAATGGCTTTCCCTAAAAATTTCTTAAACGGCACTGAATAATCACAATGTACAGGCAGTTATATATTTTACTGAAAATCAATACGTATTGATAAGCGATTGTCAAATGAAAAACGTGAAAAGTTAGTAAAGCAGTGACACATTTTAAAAATAATCGCTGGAAATAATTTTTTTTGTTTACCTTTAAACAAAAGACTATTGTCTGATGCTGACATTTCCATTATATTACCTTCAAAAAAAGGCTAGTGAATTATGTACACAAAAGAAGTCAAAATCAGTGAGACAAAATCACTGACGTAGTTATTCATAGTAATAGTTACATATAACGTAACAATAGTGGCGTGAGTGTGACGAGAAAACGATAACTGCATGAAGTAGTAATAAAAATAGTACTATTTCTGCCAGAAATAATGAATTTGTTATCTGCAACGACTTTGCTTACATATAATATTTAAATAATGTGTCGGGTGATAATGAAAATAATTGCAGTAGGTATGTGATGTCCGTTGGTACAGAAATACACGTGAATTGTGAATAATATAGTAAATACCATGACAGTTGAAATGATGTTGAAGGATTCACCAGTACTAACTACGGGTGTAAAATATGTGAACGAAAACTATTCTTAGTTGTATACGAATGTTCAGGAAAAATTAAAATTAAATGTGGTGACGAGTGTGTATGGTGTCATGAAATTTATAAAAGAGAAAATTAAGAAGGTGAATATCTGAGGGGATTCTATAATAGTCTTAACAGTTGGTTGGGCAAAAACTGCCAACCTATGTTGAATAAACATTAAAAACTTTTTTTTAGCTCATATTGTAGCTACCAATCGTAGTCATACATAAAGGTAAGTATTTAATTATTTATCTTTTGCATAAAGCTTTTCAGTAATACTCTGAACTTTCGTTAAGTTTAAATCGTTTTAAAAAGAATAGGTAACTAAGCTTAAGCTTAGCGACAGTGGCTCTTTACAAGAGAAGTAGGTTACAGAGCATGCAATAGAAAAATCCGTTATGCAGCTCGAAGTTAAAAAAATCTTTGAACATTCGCTTTTCACAAATTCAGTACAGAGCTAATTGTTTTTAAGCAATAGTCATTATGTGGATGACACAAAATGTTACAAATATTTTAAGTTTAAATCACGACAGAAAAAATTAAAACCGTTTGAATTTTAGACAACTTATTCAGCTTAGCATACTTTATTTTTAGGTAATCGTTATTCACTGTCTCACACTCACAAGTTTTGGAAATCAAATTAAGTAACTTACACCTTTGATTTGTACTGAATGCACGACACTTTCAAACTCATTTTATACATTAAATTGAATTTCGGTAATGTACAAGAAAGAGACAGTATAATACTTAAGGTACTATGGAAGATGGTATACTATCAATAAAACAACTATTCTTTGGTCAGTTGTGACTTTAAAATATTCGAAAAGTATGACCACTATTTCAATACCAAAGTAGTTCTGAACAGTTTTAATTATATGTATGACGCTTGTCTACATTTGAATATTTGGTAAAAAAAGTACATTTTATAAACTGATAGTTCTAAATAGATGATTTCAAAAATCATGTTATAAATAAAGGAATTATTAATACTTCTTTAAAGAATTGTATAAAAAATGACTAAGTAATACTTAAAGCGAGAGACAATGCGTCAGTAAATATGAGTCGAAAAGAACCTTACTGAATAAAAACATTGTTATTATGTTTATTATTTTCTTAATTATAAAAACAAGAAAATTGAAAGCGAGAAGAATAAAGAAAGGGTATGTACGATATAAATAAAGCAAATTTATAATATCCCCAAATTAGAGAATATAACGTGCAAACCAGAAATTGCGCCATAGGTTGCAGAAAAGAGGAAGCAGAATGATATTAAAAGAGTAAAAAAGAAACTAAGAGCTTACTTAACTTTTTTTTTTTAATTAGAACTTGTTATCGCCGTGAACATCGAATTTACTAAGCTTTACATTGATCCAAAACAGTCTTGTTTTGTTACGTAAAATAATAAGAAAATGGAACTTGAAGCGATCAAAGAATCAGAAAATCCGGTAAAGTTGAAAAAAAGTGCTTTAGCAAATACTTACGCCTTTCTTTTACTTAAAAAGTAGCATTATTAACTTTACTTATAGCAAAGTAAAGTCTATTCATGCGTAAATTTCTGGAAAACCATATACAACATAGTTTACGAAGTTAAAATTTATACATTAAGTCCTATAGTAAAAGTCAAGTTATTTAAAAAATACTTTCTAAGAATTTGGTTTTTGAACACAGATATTTAATCTTTACAAAAAAATCCGATAGTATTATCTTTAGTATAATCAACTGTCTGTATGATTGACCTTGAACTTTTAAAGTAGTTGTAGATCATAACATTAGTACTAATTAATTTTAACTAATTATTACTACACACTTTTTTAAAACACATAGCATGATTATAATTACTTGTACTTTGTAAAACTTTTATGTCTTGAAAGTTTTTAAATAGAAAATTTTATACATTACCAAGATTTGTATCTGAAAAAGATATAGATGGGCCTACTGTTGACATACTCTTCTCAGATGTTATGTTCGCAGGTACACCTAGTTGTTCAGATACTGTTTCTACAGTTGCTGTCATTATTTGCTCAAAAAACTGTAAATTAATAAGAATGTTTACTTCATCAGAATTCTAACAAAGGAGTTACAGTTATTCTTGGCATATAACATTAATACATTTTTATGAATTAAAGGGAAAAACTGTATTATCAGGATATGAATCTCAACTTTTGTACAGTTAAAATGAAGCGTTATAGGCTAACATATTTTAAAGATATTCTAAAGATATCTCTTTTTTTAAATGTCACGATGGTTTCTTACAAATGTTTCTTACAGATGTTTAACTATAGAAGTTTTATACATCAAAAGTTATCTCTGACTTTTCTTCTTGTATAATGCAGATACCATGCATCGTATGTAATTTATTATGTAATAAAGCTCTAGGAATAGAACATTTCTCGTGTCCAGTTATCCAGTTCAGGTTTATTAAATTATAAATAATTCTTTGTAAAATACAGTCTACATTTATAAGTGTAGGGCTAAATTTATTATTTATACTGTAAAGGTAAAATCTTCTTTGAGAAGTAGATAAAAGTAAGTTGATTTTCATCTAGCGTCTTCAATTGTTGTTATATTAAAAAAGGTTACAAATTTATAAGGACTTATCTTCTTGCGTCCTTAATAAAATTACTTGAAGGACTACACATAGCCCTTCTAGTCGGAATATATTGAGACCTAGCTATTAGGTATGGATACGTCCTACCTAAGGCTGTAATAGTTTTTTCAAGTATTTTATAGAATAACACCTGAAAGCAATTATCCCATAACGAGATAAGTGTGAGAGCAAACTATTGAATTTAACTATTAATTAATGAAAACTTAAGTCTTAAGTGATTTACGAATACATGCTCAAAGTTAGAGTATCATAACTTGTGCTGAAAGTATTTTAGAAGAACTACCATAGGTAAAGTATTGAGTAACACATGTTTTGTAAAACTTATCACTAGTATTGGCTTAAAAAATTGTTGGTAAAAGCAATTCTTTTAAATTATCTTATTGTTTATGATAAAGTAACAGAGTGCAATGCATGACGTGATAATAGATTCTTTCCTTCAATATAATTCATTTTATTATTCGAAGTAAAAATTAACGTTTAACCAAGTCCATTAATTTTATCAGTAATGGGTAACAAATTTGTACAAATCTAATCTTTTCTGTTTCTGAATCCAATTTTTTTAAATAATTGCTTTACTAGGGATGAGTACTATGATATATTATGAAAAATTTTTAGATGTCTATGGACCTTTTTTATGTTAGTAAATACAAATTTAAAAAAGTTACCTTTATTGGAAACGAGCTTTTTCACTCTTTTTCCAATTTCTGCACAAGTAAGTTAGGACAAAAAAAAAATGGCCCTTAAATAATATTGAAAAATATAATAGTAAAAAAAGAGTCCTTATGTCATGAAACGAAATCGTAAAACATGGAACAAAAGTTTAGTATATTTACTACTAATAGAAAGCTTTGATGCACCAAGTATGAAGATGATAGGAAAAGTCTTGTTGTGTTTTAGGAAAAGTTACAATTAAAAACTATAATTGACTCAAAAACTAACTTGGTTGTGCCACTATATTCAATGTACCAAGTATATCAGATTACGTAAAAGTACATACATATTTCATCGAAATCAACAAATACATGCAGTTATTCAAAACAATAACGAAAAACGGTGATATGATTGATGATGTGCTTTATGACCTGCTGATGGAAATTGTCAAGCCAGATTTTTGTTACTGTGATATTAAGTCTTTTTATGGGAATATAAATTACAAAGAAAAAATGTTTTTCGTTCGCATAAGAAGTTTAAATGAAAATTATGAAAAATTATAAATCTTTATTGAGAGACAAGTGCAATGCGGGGGGAGCGAGTATGTGACAGCGCTGGCAACTATTTTGCATACATTTGTACACCTTTATTTGGCATCTGTCACTGTTTTTTCACAATTTGCAAAAAAAACTTGTCAGTCCTTCTGAAAAATCAATAGAATACTTGTATTATGGTATTGCGTTATGCAAAAAAGTTTTTATATGGTAACGTATAAATTTAAGTTTTTCTAACATTAATTATCTAAAAAACGGTGTTGTAAAACGATCTTAAATTTTACTTGAGACTTTCTAATATTATTACAAATATTCTGTGAAAATTTTAGGAAGACTCTACCTCAAACGCTTTGTGTAATTGACGTCCCTAAAGTCAAGCTGATTATCATTGTATGGGGTGAGTCATGAATTCTTGAACATTACCAACCTTTTGTTATGCAAAGGTCTAAGGTACGTTATAATTTTTAAAAAGTTAACAAAGCTTATGAAGTAGTAGTGAATATCAAAAATAAGTATAAACCCTTAAATTATTAAAGTAGGTCAACTACAAATGTTATATAATTAAATCATGCTAAATGATGAAGTCAATATAAATGTCATGATTTGGCCTACAATAAATTTAAATTGAACATTAAAAAATTTTCAGAAGAATAAAAGAATTCTAAGAATCACCTACTAATTAAAGTTTGTAACATAAATATAGCAGAGTGACAATGGTAAGAAAAGATTTTTCAAACAATTTAACGTACAATGGAAATCAACCAGGTTTTATGAATGCAACTAGATTAAAAGATACCAGTGGAAGTAGGACGTGTATTAATAATTCTTTCAACAGGAATAATAAACTTAAAGCAATCGCTTAAATATGAAAAACCAATGCCTAATAACTATGCTTTGCTCATTAAAGTCAGCAGATATCAAAAAACTATAAAATATGGACAAAAATTTTACTGTAATTATGATAAACTTAATATTATAGCTAGTAACTTTGATTGAAAGAGTATAAAATTAAAACATGAAACAAATAAAGCTGTAAATGGTCTTATTGACATGATGCAGTATACAACAAAAAAAAATTTTTTTTTTAATTAAACAGGAATGAAATAGTAGCGTAATAGAATAAATTTGAAAAACAAGTAGCGTCCCTAGAAAAAGCTGGATAACTGACAGAAAAACTTAATCTTGTCTAAATAATAAATCTTTATGTAAGACAAAAAAAAGTTATACCAAAAATTATCAACTACAAAACAACTATAAGAATTATATTAAGGTACGAGACAAGGTTATTAAAATTAGCAAAATAAAATTTGATAAGAAAACTTTTAAAATAAATAGTTAAAGTTTCAAGAAACTATGTAACATTTTAAATTCTAAAGTCAGTGAAAAAGCAAGAAACGAAAATTGGAATATGAAAGATACTTATAACAAAGAAAGTAATCAAGTATGTAAAAAAAATGAAAAAGCTAATTGTTTTATGTAATATTTTATTTTTTAAACAGCAATATTAAAGCAATTCATAAGACTTTTACTAATACTATTACAAGTCCAAACAATTATAAAGAAATTAAAAAATAAGAACGGTAAAATAGACAGAAAAAGTACAAAAGTTTTTAAGTTATTATCTGAAAATACAAGTGATATACTAGTGCATATTTCTAATGTGTGCATTAATAAATTTATATGGCTTGTTGCAATAAGAATTTCTGAGGGTATATCTAAATATAAGTTTGGAAACAAAAAAAATGTCAAACTATCATCCTATATCACTTACATCTTACATAGCAAAAACGTCAGGGAAATAATTTACAAGTTTATAAATTTTATAACTAACAATCATTTTATTGCTAAAAACCAATAAGGTTTTATCAAAGCAGGTGAATTAAAAAATGTACTAAGTAATGTAATCAAATCTTAGCAGTATGGATGTGTGGGTATGTGATCGGGCTATAAAATGTACAACACTGTCAATTTTATTATAAAACATGGACACGTTTATTCTCATTATCTTCAGCGTATGCTATCTTTAGTCCTTACAATCAAGGATACAATCGTAAGCTGAACTAAAATAAAACAAGATCAAATCAAAAGGAAAATACGAGAAGCAGGGAGTGCGTATCACCAGACTGACTGACCGCGCGAGAGTGAGTAAACTATAGGTATTAGACGCTGAAGTGCAGCGTCACGGCGTCTCTTCTCCTTGCTATTGCGCATGCGTTATAATTCAGTTACGAGCGCCGAATATACATCTAACACTCCCATCCGTTCGTATCTTAATTTAACAAAACAATATAAAATGAAAAAAGGAAAGCCATATTGGATTGATAACACTGAGTAATCATATTTAGATGAATAAGTAATCAGCTAAAGATGTGGAAAACGTCGGCTTCTTGATCACTGATTGGGGTTGGTTGTGACAAGCTAGAACATACACAGAGAGATACATTAATCAGCATGTCTACTATCATGATCTATCTATTTTCAATTTATTAATTTTACTTTCTTAGGTTTAAGTTTAATTTTCATGCAATTTACACTTATTAACATTCAAAATTTCTTTCATTAGTATTTCATGCAGTTCAAGTGGCAGAGGTTTTGTAAAAATGTCTGCTAGTTTTTTTTTGAATGGAATTCATTTAACGATTATTTTTCCTCTGGATACACATTTCTTAACGTAGTGAGCCGTGATCTTGGTCATGTGTCTCAGACTTTTTCCCCCATCTATATTAGCACTTTCTCCGGTGGCTATGTTGTCACACCACAGGTCCACAGGCAACAGAATGTATGACAGTATTAAGCTAATTAAGCGTTCTAATCCTATCAGCTCCTGCCTTGCATCACACATCGCCACGTATTCTGCCTCGCAGATTAAGATTGCAACGTAACTCTGTTTCCTCGTCTTCCAAGCAACTGTAAAGCAATACAATCTTATGAGGTATTGACCTGTCGTAATTGAGCCATTACAGTCTGCCAAACTCGCATCTGAAAAGACTTCCTGCTTATTTTTCTGGCCTCTGTAGGTTAATTCCAGAGTTCTGGTGTGTTATAGATATCGAAGGACTCGTTTTACCATTCTCTAGTTATTAGTTAGGCAGATTTGGTGTCTGCTTAATACATTCACAGAGTGTGAGATGTCTGGTCTGAATGTGTAAGCCAGATACAGCAGGCTTCTAACTGCTTCTCTGTGAGGTACATTTTCTTCAGTTTTAGTTTTGTTCA